CAGTAACTATTTGCTGAATCAGAGAAATGAACACGTGAGACTTTCTTCCCCAGCACATGCCACCGCCAGGCACCCTGGACCCCTGACTTCTGTTCACTGTCTGTCTCCTCCGTCCCCGGGGACACAAACCCCACAAGAACTGGCATTTTTGTCTGCTCTGATCGCCGCTGTCCTCAGAGGCTTACGCGGGGCCTGAGTCAATCAATTCCCAGTGAACGAAGAGCGAAACGAAAGGGTCCTTGTCCTCGTGAACGGGACCCCTCCATCAGCCCGAGGAGGCCAGCGGGGTGGGGATCACCAATGTCACTTTTTCCAAAGGAGAAAAGAAGCACCCTGCGAATCTGGGCCCTGGATGTGTCATCGGCACGATTACCAGTTTCATGTGTAATTATTCTGCTAACGGAGTCTGCCCTGCTGGAGGGCGGGGACCGTGGCCTCCTCCCTTTCCGTGGGGCCTGGCGTACCAGAGGCGCCCTGTCACTAATTGCTTGTCTGTGAATGTTGATGAGGACGGAGGTGGGAGAGGGAGATGTGGCTCAGAGCTCATGGGACCTGCCAGGGGGCTCAGAGAAGGACAGATCTCTGGTCTGGGTCACACAGCATTCAGGGAAGAGAGAGATTGGCATCACCAAGTTGCAGAGGCCCACTGTGGGGACAGCTGGGTCAGAAGAGGAGGTGGGGAGGCTGTAGGAGGTTTGGGTATTGCAGCCTACACCCCCGTACACACCCTCTCTGTGCTGATCTCCTCGCCCAACCCCCAACTCTTTGATACCCTCCTCCCACCTCCATGCCTCTGCCTCAGCAGTTCTCCACGCCACACATGCCATCCTTTTGTTCTGTCCCCAAGCATCTGAGAGGGAACTTTCTGGAAAGCCTGAGATGAGGAGCTTCTAAAGCTCTGGCAGGATCCCAGGGTAAAAAAAAGTCAGCTGCCTCCAGGAGCCGGGGGGGCCTTGAAACTTCTCCCCACACACTTGAAACTCTCCTTGGTTATCAGTAGCCCCGAAAGAGGCCACGCCTAGAGGCCACTGGGCCAAAGGCAGCAGGTGCGAAGGGAAGAAGCCCACACCTTGACTTGTCCCCAGCGCCACCTGACCCAGTGCCTCCCACACCCCTGACTTCTGCTCCCATTGGATAGCCTTTCCTGGTTTTCCCGGGTCTGTCTGTGAAATGCAACCGGCCGCCCCCACGCCAGTGACTCTCCCACGTTCAAAAGTCACCCATGGCGCCCTCGCAGTGGAGCACACCCTCCTGTGCCTGGCATTCCTGATCCGGCCCCTGGAAACCTCGCCAGCCCTTTCTTTTACTCCCTGGACTCTGGCTTCAAGCCACTGGCTGCTCTCCTTCACCCCAAGATCCCTGCATATGCTGTTCCCTTTGCCCCATAGGCCTTGGAAAACATTTACTCATTCTTTAAGCATCGAACTTCCTCCCCACTCAGCAGGCAGAAGCCTCATGCCCCATCCCCGTGCCTCCCTTCCACTCACTTCTGGCCCCTTTTTCCTCCTTTGGCCACAAACTAACCACGGGGGGGGGGGGTGGTCCATTTCTAATTCTGAACCCCCCCAAACACAGCCTGGGGGCACAGAGCCTTTCTGGGACCCCAGGATCACCCAGTATGGGTTGGTTTACAGCATTTTTCTTGAATGAATGAGTGAATCCCTCAGTGGATATGGGATATATTTCAAACACTCCAGCCCAGCATTCAAAACTTGTTCATCCCTTCCCGTATGGTAGCCACAGACACATACTTTCCTCCTTCCCAAACTGGCCCAGACTCTCTTTTACTTCCAAAACTTAATACATCCTTTTCCTCTCTTCTGCTCCCTTTCTCTGACTCCCACCCCACTTAGCGAGCTCCTATTCATCCCTCAAAGCCCAATTCCTAGGTGCCCTCCTCTACAAAGTCTCCCAACACCTGGGCTCAGTCCTCTAGTGTTTCCCTCTTCTCCATCCTGACCGTGGGGGGCTGGCCTCTGCCCCCCAGACTCCTTGCAAGAAGAGCAGCGAGAAAGCAAAAGATTCTTCAGAGAACAGAGTTTTCCAACTATGGGTTGTGCCTCCTAAGTGGATCATGAAGAAATCCATGTGAACAGATTTTCAAAATTTTTCTGCTACATTTTTTTGTCCTTCATTGATATATCTGGATCAAAAGCATGCTTTTACATAGCTGTGTAGTATTTCACAAGAATGCCTTCAGCCCTGTCCGGGTTAGTGAGAATGTTACGGCTGCCTTTTCATTTATCCATTTGTTTCTTGCACCCACAAATGACTCAGAGATGATTTTCACTTTGTACATAAATCTTGCCATCAATAGAGATTATCTCTTTGATGAAAGCTCCTAGAGGTACAGTGACGGAGACAAGTGGAGGGGGGTTATTTGTATCCATGTCTTGACACAAGTTGTCAAATGGCCTCTGGGAAGCTGCAAAATGTGCATATGCCCACATTCGCTACAAAATAAACTCATTTTTAATTCCTGATTTGAGAGGCCAAAAAGAAAAAATCTTATTGTTTTCTATTTGACTGGTTATTATTTTTTATATATATAATTATTTCAGAGACAGGCAAACTATGACCCCTGCACCAAACCCAAATCCAACCCACCGTCTTGTTTTGTGCGGCCCGTGAACTAAGAATGATGTTAACTTTTTTTTTTTTTGGAGAGGAAGATTGACCCTGAGCTAACACCTGTGCCCATCTTCCTCTATTTTGTATGTGGCTTGATGAGTGGTGTGTAGGTCCCCACCCGGGATCCAAATCTGCAAAACCCAGGCCGCCAAAGCGGAGCACACGAACTTAACCACTACACCACCGGGCCGGCCCCAACATTTTTAAAAGACTGAAAAAAGTAAAAGAAGAAGAATATTTTGTGACACGTGGAAGTTACACGAAATTCACATTTCGGCATCCGCACTGAGGTTTTCCTGGCACACGGCCACGCTCATCTGTTTACGTCTCATCGTGGCTGCTTTCTGGCTACAACCACAGAGTTGAGTCGGTTCAACAGAGACCATATGGCGCCCCCAACGCCAAAAATATTGACTGTTGGGTTATAGCAAAAGTTGGTCCAGGGGCCGGCCTGGCGGCTCAGCGGTTAAGTGCGCATGTTCCGCTTCTCGGTGGCCCGGGGTTCGCCAGTTCGGATCCCGGGCGTGGACATGGCACTGCTTTGCAGGCCATGCTGTGGGAGGTGTCCCACATATAAAGTAGAGGAAGATGGGCACAGGGCCAGTCTTCCTCAGCAAAAAAGAGGAGGATTGGCAGCACTTAGCTCAGGGCTAATCTTCCTCAAAAAAAAAAAAAAAAAAAAAAAAGTTGGTCCACTCCTGAAATACGTGACTTATTAGCTATGGCGATGGGTTTGGAATACTGAGAAGGGTGTCGGAGGACAAAGTCTTGGGGAAATCCTTTACAAAAAAACTCGAATTCAATTCCTCATGCCCTTCCTGACCTGTTTGCCAGCGCCGTTCCGATAGAACAGACGAGAAGATATCCAAGTGTGTTCACACCAGGCAAAGGTGAGGTTCTGTGAAACCTCTGCTGCTGTTAGATCAGTATCTGGACATGCAGGTACTGGGGGCTGCTGATGTAGAAATCTCGTAACAGGGATCACCAGCGGAAAGAGGTGGAGAGCCGCAGCCTGGGGGCGGCATCTGCTGCTTGTCGAACTCCCTGCCTTGCGAGATGGGCCGAGGGAGGCGGAATGGAGGAGAATTTTGCGTGAGAGCACACAGCTCGACCCGGGCGCAGCCCGCCGTGGCGCCCTCCCTCGGCGCCTTCTGTGGGGTGGGCCGAACGGAGAACATTCTGGATTGCAGGGACTCCCGGGGAAGGCAGAGAAGAGGGTTCCAGAGCCCCAAATCCTCTTCTCAGCCTCCGGGCTCAGCACATTCGGCCCCCTCCCATTTTTCGGGTGAGAATACTGAGGACCAGAAAGGGTCAGTGTCTCCGGCTGGGAGGGCCAAGAACGGGGGTGACGACAGGCAACCTTTGGGTTTCACATTCCTGCCTCCCAGGCCACGAGGTCGAAGGAGCCAGGATCAGAGCACCAGGGGCCTCCTGGGCCTCAGCTTCTCCCCATCCCCACCCCCCAAAACTCTCCTGGACCTGCCAGGTTCAAATCCTGGTTCTCAGTGGCATATCACCAGCTGGAAAATGGGATTAACTCTGTATAACATATTTGTGGCCTCCTCCCAATGTCAGATCCAATGAGATTTTGCACAATGCTTAGCATGATGCCTGGTACACAGTAAGCGCTCAAGAGAGGTGCAACGGCCTGACTCACCATTTATTGAGCGTGTACTGTATGCAGAGCACAGCGTGAAGCTTGTTGCCTGCATTACCCACCATCCCGGGGGCTCAGGAAGTCAGGCAGGCACCCTGTCTCATTCACCGGGGTCCCCAGACCCCACACAGGGATGGCACAGCCCCTGGCATCTTTCAAGCTTCGGTTAAATGCCACTGTCATTCAGGCATCCCATATTTTCGAACCCTTCCAGTGTGGCCCCCCTTGCAGGAGGAAGGATCACCAACCATCGTGGTCTGCCCAGAACTGAGGGGTCTCCGGGATGTGGGACCTCCAAGGCTGAAACCAGGACAGTCCCCAGCAAACCAGATTGAGTTGGACAATGCGGGGTAGAGCTGAGAACAAAGTGGACACAGCTGCCTCCTCCAGGAAGCCCTCTCTGATCCACCCTCTCCCCCACTTGTGGAGGCTTAGGGGGCCTCCTCAGGGTCCCCGTGTGCCCCCCATTACAGCCCCATCCCCCTGGGGTCACAGCTGTGTGCTCTGGCTCTTTTCCTGGTCACGACTACACTACAGATAAAGACAAATGAATGAATGAAAGGCAGCGCGCTGCCTAACAGCTGAGTAAATGGAGACTCAGAGAGGCGAACCGCTCCAGCAGGATTCCCCAGCGAGGACGTGGAGGAGCCGGGGTTGGAACCCCAATCCGGGGGAGACCCCGCCACCCCCAGCACTCCGGCCCGGCCCTCACCGTGTTGTAGAACTCAGCCACCAGCTCCGAGTGCTGGAAGTTGCTCTCGCACCAGTCCACCTCGGAGCTCTGATAGGCGAAGATGCTGGGCATCCTGATGCAGCGTCCGCCGCCCGCTGGCTGCGTCTGGCACAGGGGAGCATGCCAGCCGAGGAGGGCCAGGCCCAGGTGAGGCGGGGAGAGGACAGCTCGGGGAGGATAAACCTGCTGGGCCGCTCCCCTGTTGCACCAGGCCGGCCTGGCAGTGGCGGTGGTGGCGGCGGTCGCCCTGGGCATGAGCCGAAGGAAGCCTGGCACGGCGCAGGAGGGGCGGGGGTGGGTGGGGCAGGGGCCTCCCCTCCCCGCCCACTGGGAGTGGGAGTTCCCGGGGACTGTTTTTAGAACAGTAATTAAAAATGATAATAATACCGAGTCCGCCAAAATGAGGACTCTTGCTGGCCCCACTTTACAAACAGGCAAACCAAGGCAGAGAGAGAGCCAAGCCATTTGCGTGCTGGGTGGTAACGCCCAGATGTGAAATCAGGAGGGCTGAGTCCTGACTCCGGGCTCCTGGCCCTCTTAACCGTGACACCGGCAAAGCTCCACCACGCTGTGGCTTCTGTCACTGGGGGCCACAGCTGCCTGCCCACCCCACTCCGCTCCCTTGGAGTCCTTGGTTGTGCATCCTTGTCCAGTCATTCCTCTTCCGGGGACGTCAATCTCCCTGTCTGTGTTATGGGAGGTTGGGCTGAATTGAAGTCATTTGTCTCAGGCGGTCAAGACCTCATGAGCCTAGACTGTCGCAACTTCCACCAGGAGTCACTTTCAAAGCCCCCAGGGGAGGGGGGGTTAATCTGCAGAGTTCCAGGTCTGGGGTCCCCAGTCCTGACTTCCAAGGGCTGTGGGGCACGCTCTGGTTTTAACATCAGACAGGCATGAGTTTGAATTTTGAGTTTCTCTCCTTCCCAAGCTGTGTGACCTTGGGTAAGGGAATCTACCTCTCTGAGCCTCAGCTTGCTCATCTGTAACATGGAGAGGATGGTGATGGATGGACTGTTACAAAGACACACAGAGACAGAACAGGTTAAAGGCTTCACTCGCTGCCTGGCTCAGAGTGGGCCCGCAATAAATGGTAATAGATTTCCTTCTTGTAGCTGACCCCGAACTTTAAGGTGACCTTACAGGCATAATAATAACAGCGGCACACTGTTACCGACTACTCACCAGTGCCAGGCTCTTTTCTAAGTGCTCATCATTCAGTATTATCTCATTTAATGTTCTTAACAACCTGAAGAGAGGGGGACTATTGTTATCTCCATGTCACTGGCAGGAAACAGAAGCCCAGAGAAGTTAAGCAATTTCCCCCAGGTCACACAGCTCGAAAGTGAGAACGGGCAAGCCACTTCAGGTCTGTGAGCCAGTCTCCTCACCTCTAAGATGGGAATAATAATGATAACAAGAGTACCTCCTTCTTTGGCCTTGGGGAGGGTTTAATGAGCTTCCATTCACGAGGAAGGTGATTTTGGGTGACACGCGGCCCTCCATTCAGAATCAGTGAACTGCGTGGCAAGTCATTGCCTCCCTCTTAAATTCTCAATAGTCCAAGGAAAGGGGTTCAGCGGGGGCCAATACATGTTTATACCTCTTAACACTTAATCCCTTTGATAAAAAGCAGGCAACTGCCCCAGGCAGCAGCGTCAGCTACAATGTAGTGACTTTATTTACATTGTATTTATCTTTATAGAAGCTCCACTTCGGTTGGTCATATCCACTTTCCATTCACGGCAGGCTTACAAAGTTTCTTTTTTAAAATAAATTGGTTTACACTTTCTAATTCTGGAGGGGGGTGGTCTGCGAATCTGGACGCGTGAAGAATTGGAGTGGAGACGTTTACACGCACACACACGCACGCTCGTAAAAGCTGTTGAAATCTGAGCGAGGGCTCTAGATCGTATCGATGTAAATTTTCTGGTTTTGAAATCGTGTGGTTAGATAAGACGTACCTTTGGGGAAAACTGAGTAAATAGTACACACGACCTCTCTGTGCAGTTTTTGCACATTCTTGTGAGTGTAGAATTATTCCAAAACAAAGCGGGTTTTTTTTTTTTCTTTTAAGTCATTGATTAAGGTTTTAATCAGCAGAGGAATGGATCAATAAAATGTAGTCCGTTCATTCAGTGGAATATGTTCTGGCCTTAAAAAGGAAGGAGATCCTGACTCCTGCTCCAACGTGGATGGACCTGGAGGACGTGACGCTCAGTGACGTGAGCCAGACACAGAGGGACACACACTGTGTGTTCCACTCACAGGAGGTCCCAGAGGAGCCACATCCACAGAGACAGAAAGTGGATGGGGAGCCAGGGGCTGGGGGAGGGGTAGGAGTCACTGTTTCATGGGGACAGAGCTGCAGTTTGGGGAGATGGAAAGTTCTGGAGACGGATGGAGGGGATGGTGGCACAACCATGTGAATGTGCTTCATGCCACTGAGCTGTGACCTTAAAAGTGGTTAAGATGGCACATTTCGTGTTTCGTATGTTTTAACCACAATTTTTAAAAGTAATGATTTAGACTTTTAAATATGGTCTCATTTGATGGAATATCTTAGGTAAATGAGAGTTCAGGTGGGAGGCGGACATAGGAAAATCCTGAGGGGGGTCTGTCGAGGTCAAAAACTTGGGGATTACTGAGGGTGCACCTGCTGAGGGCTCAGCCCAGAGCTGGTGATTAATGAAAGAGGCTAATGTCTATTATTATTATTAATCATCTACGAGGTATTGAATGCTTTCTTTCTTTCTTTTTTTTTTTTTTTTGAGGAAGATCAGCCTTGAGCTAACTGCTGCCAATCCTCCTCTTTTTGCTGAGGAAGACTGGCCCTGAGCTCACATCCGTGCCCATCTTCCTCTGCTTTATATGTGGGATGCCTACCACAGCATGGCTTGCCAAGCAGTGCCATGTCCGCACCCGGGATCCGAACCGGTGAACCCCGGGTGCCCGAAGCGGAACGTGCGCACTTAACCAGTGTACCACCAGGCCAGCCCCTCAAGTGCTTTCATGTTCACACTCTGCCAGGTGCCCAGAGAGCCTCCTTTGAGATCCTCTGGGGAGATGGGAAAGACGTCAGGTTTGGAGATGAGAGAAGAAGTTCCCAGAGCCTGAATTAAAAGCTCTACTTGGGGGCCAGCCTGGTGGCATAGTGGTTAAGTTCACACGCTCCGCTTAGGGTTTGCAGGTTCAGATCCTGGGTGTGGACCTACACACCGCTCATCAAGCCATGCTGTGGTGGCGTCCCACATACAAAGTAGAGGAAGATGGGCACAGATGTTAGTTCAGAGACAATCTTCCTCAGCAAAAAAAGGAAGATGGGCAACAGATGTTAGCTCAGGGCCAATCTTCCTCACCACAAACAAACAAACAAACAAAACTCTACCTGACTCTCCATTCCCCAGGGGAGCAACAACTCCACCACTTAGCCGTAGCCTTGGCCCCAGATCCTCTCCCTAGGTGGGCCAGAAGCGTGTCCCCCACCCCACCCCACCCCCGCCCCAGCCTCTCCCAGCCCAGCTAGAAGCAGGGAGCCTGACGCCTTCCTCATGGAGGGACCACGCAGGGGTGGAGCAGATGGCCTCTGAGGTTCCTCCTTTCTCAGCTCTGGAGTGGGGCACAGCTCCTGGGATCTGGCTCCCTGAACCTTGGTGAAGGGTTTGGCTTCTGGAAGCAAGGTGGTGACAGATGCCACACCCAGCCCAGCCTGGAGAGTTTGGAAATCAGCCTGCACAGAGCTGACAAGGAAAGTAGGCCAGCCAGCCAGGAGCGTGGGTGCTGAGGTTGCACTCTCCCTGTGCTGGGGGGAGAGGAGGAGGCTGGAGAGCAGGTGTGAAGGGCCGGAGCCCGGGACGATGGGTGTATGAGTTTCCACAGCGGCTGCAACACGTGAGCGCAAACAGTGGCTTAAAACAACACACATGGGGCTGGCCCTGTGGCCGAGTGGTCAATTTCGCGTGCTCCGCTGCAGGCTGCCCAGTGTTTCGTTGGTTCGAATCCTGGGCGCGGACATGGCATCGCTCATCAAACCACGCTGAGGCAGCGTCCCACTTGCCACAACTAGAAGGACCCACAATGAAGAATATACAACTAAGGAAAAAAATTTAAAAAATCTTTTTTTAAAAAAAAAACACGTGTATTATCTTCCAGTTCTGCAGAGAAGGAGTTTGAAATGAGATTTTTGGAGCTAAAATAAGGTCTCCAGAGCTGGTTTCTAGAGGTCGCCTGCATCCTTGGCTTGGGGCCCCTGCCTCCATCTTCAAAGCACGTCATTACTTCTGATTCCGTCGTCACGCCCCCTTTGTCTGGCTCGGATCCTCTGACAAGGCCCCTTGTGATGGTGTCAGGTCCACCTGGACAAGGCAGGGTAACCTCTTCCTCTCAAAGGCCTGAATTCAGTCACCCCTGCAAGTCTCTTTTGCCGCGGGAGGTAACATAGCCCCAGGTTTCAGTACCGAGGCTGTGGGGACCATCAATCCACCTGCCACGGCGATGAGGAGATGAGGCTGGGAACAGCGGGATTGGGGGCTGGGAGCGGGGCTGGAATAAATTCGGGCTGAGATGGACATGAGGATGGAACTGGGGGTGAGGATGGGTATAGGGTTGTGAATGGAGACGCGGAGCAGGACGGAGCTGAGGCTGGAGACGGAGCTGGAGGTGGGAATGAGGTTGGGGGCGGGACTGAAGATGGGGTTGACGGCAGGACTGGACATGGAGGGGTTGGGGACATAAATGGGAATGGGGGTAGGGTCAGAATTGGGGATGAGTTTGAGGACAGACTTGGGACGGGTTTGGCATTCGGATGGGGTTGGGGACCTCATTCCCGCTGGAAGAAGAGCTTCGGATAGAGTCTGTCCACCCTGGATCAGCACCCAAAGGGACTCCCATGGGACTTGAAAAGATGGGAGCTAGACACCAATGGGGTGGCAAGGAGGCTGCCAATGTGCCGTGACTTTTCCCCATCTCCACTCACCCAGGCAAAGGTCTGGTGTCCTCTCCTTGCTTCTGGGGCTCCCTCCTACTCTTCCTTCTCTCTCCCATCCTCAACCCCATCCTCAGGTTTGGACCAGCAGTCTGTCCTTGGTTGCTATCAGACGTTGGTGGCCACCTGGGCCAGGGTAACTGTTCGTGAAGACCGCGAGAAACCCCGTCGCCGCCATGACGCTCGGTTGCAAGGCCATTGGCCGCCTCTCCCACCTCCATTCTCTCTCTCATCCTCATTGTGAGCATCAA